CTGGCCCCGCCCCTGGCCGTACTGCCCATACTGCTGATACTGGCCGTACTCGTACTCGTCCGCGTCCCGGTCATTGCGCTGGTCTGGAAAATAACAAATTAAACGGAATTAGTGAACTCTGCTCCATGCATATTCTGGTGGTATTATAAACGTTTTAGAAGTAAATGAACTAAATACTCGAAATAGGAATGAAGCGCAATGCATTGCGAACTAAGCCCCTCTCCCCCTCTTTCTCTCGCCCCCTCTCTTCCCCAACCTACTTCTGACGAGGGGTATAACTTTGCCGCCTGTTGCCTCCACAACACACGTGTAGTGCACCGAGTCCCCCTCCTTGCAAAGCACGGATATGACTCAGGTGTGGCGTGGCAGGCTGATTCGCTCCGCCCAATTCCGCAGTTACATACGCAAGCCAAGTTTTGCCTGGCTTTCCTCAAATTACCTATTTTGTGAGTTTTTCCATTTTTTGGGGACAGTTACGGTTGAGAACGTTGATAAGGCGACTGATAAATGGCACACTGGTAAAACAAGTGTTTAATTTTGCACGTCAATTGACGTTTAAGTTCAAGTGTGCAATTTTTTGACACTTTGTGGTGTCTAACTACGTTATACGTCAATTGGTGTTTAAACTAGTTGGAACGCCCCTACACGTTTTGGAAGTGTCGAAAGTTTAAACATAGAACTGTGTGTGTCCAAGTGTGCAGAATTTAAACGTTTACAAAACGTGTGCAACTTGAGTTAAACACCATGTAATGTGCAAAATCACAACTTGCACACGTTTGGTGAGTAAATATTGCACTTTTGTTTTACCAGTGCGCGTATATTTGTAGATAAATAGCGCACTTCACGTCGTGGATTCCCCATCTGAATTTTTAGTTTAAACAACAACAACAACAACAACAACAACAACAAAACAGGACGGCAATGTTGTAAGGCATGGAAGGGAGTGACCCATTCCGTCCTTGATCTCCCCTCCCCTCCCCTCTCCCCCCTTTCCCTCCGACTCCATTAACACGTTCAGAATCGATGGGTGGCCAGAAAACAAGAAAATCGTGGCCATCACTGGAAACTCTGGAATGGTACCATGTCCGGCTGAGGGCAAGGGAAAGAGGGGGGGGGGGGGGGGGTCACCGTGGATTGCCCAAACACGGCAATTTTGTCGAGCAAATTGCCTACCTTTCAGTCAGGTCAATAAAGACGATAGAAGATGAGGGAGCTTAATACGCGTCTGAATGATACACGTTATTTGTGCTTCCACGATGCGCGCGGGCATTGCTCCTTTGGATGGCAGACAAGGCACGGCCATCATTACAGAAGGATAACGTCCGTCATTTTTAAACGCAGTAATGACGGACGTTATCCATATTGCAATGATACGCATCATCACACTGTTGAAAGCCAACGAAGTCGTATAGGCTTTTAACTGTGTATCCACCTGCCGTCCATCACCATCAATGGCACAGCACGATGCAAGATTAAACATTTGCAGCACTCTCATGGTGACCGGTATTTTTGTTGATATCACTCCTTTAGAGCTACTCAATGGACGTTCAAGAGCTCTATTCGCGGCTCTATTCGAATAACACACCCACATACATCCCGGCAAAAGGAAAGCTGTAGCAGCCATACCGTTCGGTTACTTTAGGCGGCGGCCACAAAATGGTGGTTGATGCAACATTAAAACAACCGTGGGAACTGAAATATGGTTGCTGACTGGGGGCACGGTGACACGTCACTGAATTCGAGAGAGAAGCGTGACTCATTTTTCCAGTGAAATATAGCCAGCATACAGTGAACCACGTCAGATTAAATAATAAGCGTGTCAACGGTTCTTCTCCAATCCACTCACCCTGGGCCTACACTGTAAATTGCTTACGAACAATAGGTTCGTAATGCAAACCAGAACCTTAATAGCTCACGAAGGATTTTGAAGCATTGTATAACGAACTAGTTGTCGTTAGCTTACGAACAAATAGTTCGTAATGCAAACCGATTGTTCGTAAGAACCAGTCTAGCCTTCCAAACAATCGCTTTGCAATACGAACAATTTCTTTGCAATAATACAAAGAAAGAAAACTGTTCGTAACGTTGCAAAGCATTTAGTTCGTAAGCTTTTTTTTACAGTGTAGGCAGCCAATCCTCCACCACTACCACTCTAGCGGGGCTGACTCCAGAGGGTAGTGATGGCAATCGGGCGGGTTGGTGCCTATAACCCGCCTGTCTTCCGTCTCTCTCGCTCTCATTGTGTAAGATGGGTGCAAGAGGGACGGAAGACTGTCGGGTTAGGCGCTAACCCGCCCGATTGCCATCACTACACCAGAAGGCCGCCGTGTAGCGCGTGGCGTAGGCCCGCCCGCTTGACACTTGTGGTGTGCGTGATGCCTACCCTGCCAACCGCAGGCGCCTGCCGCCTCCCGGCCCAAGGTGGACGCCCCCCCCCCCCAAAGCAGGGGAGGCAGGGTCAACGCCCCCCTCCCCTTCCCCTGCCGCCCCAGCACACACGGTGCCAACAGCCCGCTATCAACCGGAACTGTCTCCGCGCTTCGTGATGACAACTGCTCTGTGCGGGGAAGGGGGGGGGAGGAGAGAGAGAAAAATGGCTGCGGTTCAAAAATCCTTAACCTCTGGACAACAAAAAAACTAGCCGGGCCTATCGGTGC